ATATGGATTAACCCAATTTTTGGGTAAAAAAGTATTTAAAAAATTTAACCCAACAGTTGGGTTAGTCCATTTTGACCCAACGTTGGGTTGAATCAACCTAGCATGTTTTAGAGTGTGCACACTGTAAATTGTCAGATATTACTTGGCTATATTACCCAGCTACTGTGTAATAATATAGGCAAGCACCACAGAACCATACTTGCAATAAATCACCAATTCATTCAAATAATAATGTCTCCATGAAAGATAAAAGAGATGACACCCAACAAATGTACTGTCCAAACATGCCAAAATAACCCCATGCGTTTGACTGTTGAGAGACCTTTGGTTGTTAAACACTGTGATCATGACTTTGTCTACCACACATACATAGGTGTGAACAAAGCTTATAATCTGATCTGCCTTTTAAATAAAAACACACAATAGCCTACTAATGAAAAATGGTTAGTCAAATGAAACAACCACTAAAAGATTGTGTTACTTGATCAATCTAAGTGTGACTGTTCACTAAGCGTGTACTGTCCAGTATCAGTGATTTTTTTTAATGCAAGCCACTGTTTCACATTGAAACATGTTTTCAAACGTGATGATTGAAAGAGAACAGAATTGAAAGAGTAGCTAAAAGAGTTGCTATGTAGCACACCCTTGTGCAAAACATCTACAGCATTCAGTTGAGCCCCAGAAATGTGACACGCAGCAGGTATCAGACAACGCACCTGTTGAATGAAATTGCTTTGTTTTCATTTTAAGACAGAACTAATCAATCAAGCAGCTGAGTCCAACTTTTATGCATTGGTATTTGTCACATTCTCTTCTGTTCCTGTTTCCTGTCATTGTATGTTGACCTAGTGTTTGCCTGTTAGTTCACCTGTTTTTCATTAACCGTAGTTTCCCTTGTGTATTTCAACCTGATTTCTATCTGTTCATTGTTTTGTGTCATTGTTATTTCACGTGTTTATGCTTTACTATTGTTCTGGCTGTTCCAGTTGGATTTATTAAAGACCATTTCTGTTCTGTTTTCAATAAGGTTTGATTTGTTTACAATACAAAATTATTTTATGTAAATTTGACTTGTAACTAGCATGTATTTATTAATATACAGTGGGGAAAAAAAGTATTTAGTCAGCCACCA